TTCTCTTCTCTTCTCTTCTCTTCTCTTCTCTTCTCTTTCGTTCCGTTTAGTTTCGTTTCGTTTCTTTTCGTTTTGTTTCCTTTCCTTTCCTTTCGTTTTTTCTTTTCTTTTGATCAATCAGTGAAGATTCTTAATATAAACGGATACAAATCATAACCTTTGTTTGTTTATCTTCAGGTTAATGCATCCAGCTATTAGTAACCCAAAATCTGTACCTGCTTTTGGTTTCAAAAACATGCTTCCACTGTCGGAGAACCCAACTGACTTTGAGGTACGCCACTTTTACACTCAATAAGTGTTATCCTCTTTAAACAAAGACGAGAATATGTGGACCGCGTAGCATTTATAAAATACAAGATATAGAAATATAGATAAGTTCTAGTGCTTGGGAACGAGGTTATTCCGGGCGAAAGACCCTTGGAAATCAATTCGGAAAAATTAATTTCCGACCTCGCTGGGAATCAAACCCACGACCTTCGGAATTGTACTACCAATGCTCTACCAGCTGAGCTAGAGGTCAGACTGAGAGCAGGCCGGGGTGAAATAACGTTGTTGATTGTTTTATCTTTTTTTATTGATTGATTGTTGTAAGTTCCGTGGTCTGTACTCGCATACACCTTCTGTTTACTACCTAGAGTAGTATAGCCTCTTAACGACTGAACAGGTTGTAGGCGGAACCCTCTAGATCATCATATCATGGATTAATAAGTCAGTCAATTCAATCAAGCAATGGTCCCTGTTAGTTTCCCTACGATAAAAGGCAATTAGGTTATATAGGCAATAAAAGGTCACGTGACCTTACCCCCTTCCATTATGGTATATGCCAAACTTTGTTAGAAACATCGGCCACTACCGGTGATGTTCTACCGGAACATTGTGTATCCACGAACTAATGAATTTCCAAGGTATAAATTGCGTCTTTTGTAGCTAAGTAGATTCTAGTTGTCGTCTCCCTATCGGGTCGACCGCTTAGACCCATCATGAGACAGCGCATCGTACCCATTGCAGCTCTAATCAGCTACTCTTTACCCGACGCGCGAGAACAAACAACRAATCAATTAGCTCAGATTTTTAGTTCAGATTGTTTTTTGTACTTTTTCATTATTTCAGCAAACTGTGGGCTCACTGAACATCTCCGGTAACGTTGACCGTCCCGAAGGGGGCTTAGACGCACTGGTTCAAGTCGCTGTATGTGAAAAGGTATTGTGATGTTCGTCATTCTCCCCCCGGAGTAAACAATAGTCTGCTCTTCTGTACTCATAAGATCTGTGCAAAGAATCCAAATATACGCGAGTATACAGAAKATATTTGCTTTTCTTTGACAGTTTACGTTCATTTTACCATCAAACAAGTGCGCGCACCAATAATTGTTTTTGTATGCATGTTTTAGAAATTTTACGCTTGCGATCATTTTGACCAAACTTTCATTATTAACGCTTTCTTTGTTTGGTCCGGCAGGAAATTGGCTGGAAAAGTAAACTCGATGCTAGACGATTAGTAATCCTGTGTACAGACTCTGGCTACCATTTTGCTGGAGATGGACTGGTAAGGAATACGGCTAATACGGGGGATAAGGGCGTTTAACATATATATTGTGCATTATATTGTTAAAATCCTTGTGGTTCGACCTCGTTGATTCAAGAACGCAAAATAGCAGAGCTCTATTTGATCTCGTCCACAAATTCAATCCCACAGTCCTGTGCGCCATGTTACCAGTCTCT